ATTTATGTTTGTGTAAAAACTAGAATCGAAAATGATCATGGTGACCGTAACATAAATTTGCTGATCATGGAGCTTAATACTTGTTTGTTTTTTTCCACTATGAAGCAGAAATAAAGATGCTAGGTGAAGCTCACTGAATATTCTTTTGGATAGAATTACTGCGAACATTGTAGATCTGAAATATTGTTTCATTTGACATATCTGTGGAGAAATTCATAGAATAGACAAACATTAAGCAATGATTACTGTCTCCTTTTTGTAATCGATACCTATCACCAAGAGTAACATTGAATCATGTTTTGGAACGAAATTAAGCATTATTGTTTCATTGCAATTTCTATAAAACAAGAACTTGTAAAAATTATCGAGAATGTTTTGATCGTAATAATTTGAGTCTGACTAATAGTTTCTCGTTCGTTGAAAAATTAGAAAAAAATAGAAATGCTCATCAGAATCAGGAGCAATAATTACCAATAAATTCATTTGCACTTATTCTCGTAGGTCATAAGCTTTCGCAATTCAACAATTTCTGTAAATACTAAATATGTAATAACGTCTCTCTTTCACAAACTTATAGCATCAAAGTTTTCGTTATCAAGCACTGTTTCCAAGAAGAAAGTATTGTTATTTTGGTAAATAATATATTTTTTTGTATTAATTCGAAATATGCTGTCTTAACATCAAACAAATGTTGAATTCTGTTATACAAACAAACTTTGTTCAAATCGGAGCATAAAACTATTTTGTCGATTGTCATTAATTTGGTAAAGGCTTGGATTGTCTTCACTTCTGTATATATTCAACATATTAATCATTTCATTTTTAAAATTACGTTTTTTATTATCAACAAATAAATCAGGTTTAGTTGCTTCAATCAATAAATATGTCATTTCCTTGATGTCGTGCATTGTAAAAAACTGTATTTTGCAAATAGATTAAAAAAAGAAATGGAAATGTAAAGTTACCTAAACGTTTAAGATTAAATTCAACATGTTCATTAAAATGCAAGTGATATCAGTTAGCCCCGTGACGTTTATCTTTCTATATTGTCAAACTATGAAACAACAATTATTTTGATCAGTCGTTTGAACATTAATAATAAACAGATATATCGGAGTGGGTCTTAAGCAGAGGTGCAGAATCTTCCTCGTGCGCCCCCGCGCAGGAAGGGAGGGGAGGGAATTTTTTGAAAAATTGCATTACTCGGGGAAATTTTGAAAAATTGTCAGACTGGGGAAAATTTGGAAAAACTATTAGAAGGAGAAAAACCTTGTTCTCGTCATAATTAACTGTTACAGGATATAACGTTTGGACAAAAGATCATCAAATTTCAACGACAAAAGTGATGAAAATTTTCTTCACGAACAAAGATCTGGCG